TGTCTCATTTTGATACTAATGCCCTTAAATATTTTCAGAAATTAATTAAATAAATAGTTTTATAAACAAAACAATTCAAAAAAAATAGTAAGTAATGATGAAATACCTATATCAATTTCGTGGTATTTTATTCAGTTAAAAAAATTTAAATCATAATTTCATATTTTGTTTTACAAATATTAGAATTGGTGTTCTACAAAGTAGAATATGAAATCAACTTTTTCATAAAATCTACTATGTTCAGAATACATATTTTATGTAAAGAATAGTAATCTAAAGCTATTTAGAATACACATTTCACACTTAACCTATCTCTCTAAAATCAGTAGACATCAGAATCTACATATTCCTATAAATGTAAAACATGTAAAGATTGATTTCAAACATTATTAGTGCATTCTACATATAGTATAACATATATTCTACGGATAAGGATAATCAGTTCTGAAAATTGAGAAATAAACTATTTGAAAATATTCAGTTACCATATATTAAAATTTGTTTTTTCAAAAATATATTTAATTGTTATTTTCCAATTAGAATTTCAAATTAATAAAATATTTCCAAATATTTGTTTTTTAAAATAGCTGGAAATATTTCAAAAAATATATATTTGCAAATTTTTTTTTCTTACAAGTGTTTAGAATTTTATAACTTTGGAAATTCAATATTTGGATATTTTTTAATTTCGTATAAGTTTTTTTTTTTTAAACTCCAGTTAGTTTTTAATTATTTGGAAATTTTTTTGGGAAATTTTTTTTATTGTGAATTTGTTTTTTTTATTTGGAAATATTTCTTTTTAATTTAGTTTTTTAAAATATTTGGAAATATGTTTTTAAAAAATATTTGGAATATATATTGTTAAAAGTATTTGGAATTTAGAAAATTTGGGAATAAAATATTTGAAAATATTTCTTTTAATTTCGGAGTAGTTTTTTATTAAATCGTAAATATATAATTATTATTTTATAATTAAAATTTTGAATTAAAAAAACTCACTTTAAGGATATTATTGTCATTTAGAGAATATTTAGCTTAATAGGACAACTAGACAATGATATTAGCCTAAAAGTACAATGTACTAATTTTTTGGCCTAAAAAAACAAAATTTCCTTTATTTTCTTAACAGCTTAAATTTATTAATTAAACTCATATAAGTTGATACAAAAACATATGATAAAAAACAACAAATAGCATAATAAAGTTATTAGAAGACAATAATAGATCTGATACAGTACATTGGTCTTCTAAAGTCTTCTTTATCACTAAATTATCTACTCTATGAATTTCCTTCCGAACTTTTAGTTTGCATCGCATCATAAACATTAGGTTCCTTTGTTGTATTACATTGACTTTATCCCAATTTAGAGCTATAGATATTCTCCAATGTAAAATCTAATGTACTGATTCAATCATGGAAATTAAGAATGGGAGTCGCCAACTTTCAACGATTGAAGAACATCGTCATACAAAAAAGAGAACATTCTATTTCGGACGGTCGCTTTTTCTATGCTGATTTCTATGGTTTCAACGGTAGTTCAGATTTATCCATATGTCGATACCCAATAATATTGTATTGAAATATATAATTTAGAAGTTTCATCCATTTCTGAATTTGATCTTCTACTCATAATCGCAACATGTGTTATCTTTAATAAATCTGATATCTTTCCTGGATCCCAAATTCTTCGACCCAAACATCATTTATAGCGAGAAATAAGCAATAGTCCAGTCAAAATTTGATAATATGTTATCAAACTAACATCGTAGTGGATTAAATCCACCACGGAGATGGAAAATATTAGAATGAAACAACCATGAAACTGTCTCACACTGACACCAAAATCAGGATTTATTAACCATGTATTTCTTTTGGACAAACAAGATAAATGACATAAAATTGACGTTGCATGGTTTTGTGTAACAATGTTAACAATTTTAGAAAACCTATACACCATTGTTTTCCATCTTATATATTAAAATATAAGTTACAACCTTGATTCATGTGTGATATTTTTTTAAAAAATAGACTATTTCTTAGAAAAATTATCAAGTTTATCAAATGGTACATAACTTAATAAATTTAATGATAATACCTTTGAATATCTTTATCTTTATCTTTATCTTTCTATTTGAAATAAAAATTAAATAAATACAAAAAATATTTTTATAACCTTTTTAAATTGTATTTCCATAAATCATTGAATTTAAATTATAATTATCATAATATATCATTAAAATTATTATTTTATTTATAAATGAAAATGAAAAATTATCTAAAATGTATCTATATATAGTATTAAAAAGAATTCATGAGTTATTTCATGTGTAATTTTTTTTATTTGGACCATTCTTTAAAACAATTATCAACTTTTACATAATTTAATTATTGTATCACCCCATATCTTTATATTTTATTTGAAATACAAATGCTTTTGTTTAAGAAATAAAAATATATCTAGATAGCACTATATATTCCTAAAACCTAAAGAAAAAAACTATATAATAGAGTTTAACCCATACAGATTTTTTTTATTTTATAAATATAAAACTTTGATATTATTATAAAAATAAATATATGATTTAAATTTAATGTTATATACTATAATTTTGTTGTTTAACTTTCTTATTTGTCATTATTAATATATAGTAGTTTGTTTTATATATTTATTTTATATTCTTATTGATTGTTATTGCTTATTAATGTATTTTTGAGTTTGATACATAAATTATAATATGAAATAATTAAATATTTAATATTTAATATAAATTTTTAGTTTCTGTCATTTGCATACAATACATTATTAAATTTATGTAGATATAATATAGATAGATATTTGTTTATGATAATTTATATTTTCATGTTATGTTTAAAATGATATTTTATATCTGTCATTTTAGTATATTGCGAAATTTTATAAATAAATATATTGTTATCTATTGATATTTTTTTATAAACTATAAATAAAAAGAAAACCTGCACAACTAGTGTTAAAATTGAAACAAAACAAAAGGGGATTACCCAGAACATATTCATCTAGGGAATTACAGATGATGTCTCAGGCTTTTTTTTTTTAACTTGCTTTTGGAAAATGATCAATTTCAAGGGATTTTAAACTAAAATATTTTTTTTGAGAAATAAATCTAGCATTAAAATTATATGAGAGAAGAGAATTATAGAATTTTCGAGTACGTGAACATTGAAGTAAGCTCCTTTCTCTATTTGAAGGAATATATGTATAATCTTTTTTTTCGTTTTGCTAAAAATAATATATGCAAAATCTTAGGAAAGGAGAAATGGCGTGTAAAGAGGAGAAGAATATATTATAGAGATGCATTATGCATGTGTATGACGAGATATATGCCCGAGGAGGTCCTAAAAGTTGTCCACTATTTTTTTTTTGCCATAAACTAAACTGATCCTTAGTTCTCAAAAAAATAAAATAAAAAATAACAAACTAATCCTGCTAGAATATTACTAATCAACAACGATTTCGGTTGCATTCGATTTAGTGATGGCATCAGCTTTAGTTTTGATTCAAAGTAAGGATGAGAAAAGGAAGTTTATAGTCTTTTGAGCCTATTAATCATCAATAGATTACATGCATCCAAATCAGTATCCGATTCAGCTTACGAGTTCCGCTCGAATCAAAGTGAGAACGTGTAGTACTTCGAATCCAATAGAAATAATGTAGTAGTACATGTACAACAAGTAAACTAATCATCATCAAAACATATTTAAATTGCTTACCCTAAATTTTAGAGTTATTTAAGTGTCTTTGTCTAAAGAAATGGCTACGTTAATGTTTTGACAGAAATGTAAAACATCCGTTTGAGACAATACATACATAAGACTTAAATTTGAATGCATATGGGGCTAAATAAATTTGTAATTAATTGCTAAGCATGATGATATATCACTTGCAATATTATTATTCCATCAATAAAATAGAATGTTGCTATTGACAACGTGTTAACTACAATGTAAAATTTTCAATTGATGTTAATCTATCGTCAATATTACATGTTTTGTTGCAATAAAACGGACTTTCGATTGCAAAGTTAATCTTATTAATGCTTGCGGTCAAAATCAAAGGGAGATAATGAATATTCCAATCTTATTATGTACCGAGAGTCATTGTGGCATATTAAACCAATAGTTCCTACCTACTTGAGGAATTTGTAGAAGACAACAGTCATGTCATGTCGCCACTTACACTGCCGTAAGTCCTTAATATTATTAATGTGGCCTGGCTCCATTGATATCTCAAGAGCCACAACGAATTTTTGTGACCCATCATATTATTGTTAAGAGTATGAACTGCTTTATTAAAGTTGAGCTAATTATTAATTAATCTTTTCCAGCATAAAATCTTCGTGGATATGTAAAGCCAGCATGCAACTACAAAAACTTGACATAACTGATATCGTGCATGGAGGGTGAACTTAAACTCTATTAAATTAATCTACTTTGAATTTCGGTTTCTCTTTACCGATGTATTACATGTGGATTACAGAAAGTGCATATAGACATAGTATTACTAATTAGCTATGGATGAGTTCATTTATATACATGAATGACGACGTAAATCCCCCTGCGGCAAGAAAGTGATGATCGATGGGAATAAATACAAAGTTGACATTCTCTTAACACGTAATATTGATCCCCCAAACTGGAATTTTTCTCTTCATGCATCATCATGGTCACAACTTACACTATATGCATATCAATCTCTATACCTTACTTATGTCAACTCTAGAGCATCTAATCATCTGGTTCTCTTATCCACAATCCAACTTCCCAGATTTATTATTCTCCCTTTTAGTTTTGCCCCATCATTAATCAAAGGTACCTCTATATGTTCACAAAAGATTACATGTGAGTATGTGTATATATACAGAGTTCCAAGACTCACTTCTCCAAAACAAACACATCAACACTAATCTCCAAGCGATATAAAGAGAAAGACACATACGTAGTAAAAGAGTATTGCTATAAAATGGATGTGGTAGCAACATTGGCGTCGCAAAGTGCAGTAGTGATATTTAGCAAGAGTACTTGTTGTATGTCTCATGCAATCAAACGTCTGTTTTACGAGCAAGGAGTGAGCCCAGCAATTGTAGAGATCGATCAGAACATATACGGTAAAGATATTGAGTGGGCCTTGGCTCGTTTAGGTTGCAGCCCTACTGTTCCGGCAGTTTTTGTCGGAGGGAAATTTGTAGGAACGGCCAATACCGTCATGACTCTTCATCTCAATGGTTCATTGAAAAGGTTGCTCAAAGAAGCTGGTGCTTTGTGGCTATAGTATTTAATGGATGTATTCTTGAGTGATTTACATTGTGATCTTTTACTTTGACCTTTGACAGTGTCTTCGCTTTATGTACGTCTTATTAGAGCATATGTGAAGAACTACTTTGTATCGAGAATTATATTTCTCTCTACGTGGAAGTTGATTTAATATTTTGACTATTATCTCTTTTGGACAGTAAAATCTACTTAAACTTCTAAGAATTTGATCTCTCAGTATTAGATTTAATTGGTTGTTAATCTTCTACACTTTAGTTTCTTCTCTTTAATGGAATTTAATATGTACGCTTAAATATAGTTTATAAATGGATCTGAAAGAGTCAAAGAAAGAAAACTGAAAAAAAGAAAGAAAACTGTAATGGATGAGAGTGAGATCTAAAATAAAACGTGTAATTATCAAAATTCTAGATTTTACATTAAAGTTTATCTGTCTATTATTCAAAAATTAACTAAAATAGTCTAAATTTTAATTTCATATAAGTTTTCTACTAAGTTGTCTAGGCTTTATGAGTATGTGTTATAAATTTCTTTCAGACTTCTCAAACGACTAATAATTAAGTCATCTAGAAAGACTTTCCAGACGACTTAATTATAAGTCTTCTACTCATTCATCCAGACTTTATAAATATGTGTTATGAATTTGTGTTAGACTTATCAGACGATTAATAATTAAGTCATCTGGAAAGTCTTCCCAGACGACTTAATTATAAGTCTTTTACTAAATCGTTCGGGCTTTATGAGTATGTGTTATGAATTTGTGTTAGACTTCTCATACTACTAACAATTAAGTCATCTGGAAAGTCTTCCAGAGACTATTTAATTATAAGTCTTCTAATAGGCTAAGATTTATAAGTCTATGAATATGTACTACTAAATTTAAGGAGGTTCCGAAAGGTCACTGCACAAACTTACAGTTAAATCGTCCACCATTCCAGACGACTTAACTGTAAGTCATCTGTGCAAAAAAATGTTACAACAAACAAACAAAACATACAAATATCAGCCTAAACATCAGCCTAATCAAGTTCAAATATAAACATACAAACATCAGCCTAATCTATAACCCATCATAAGCACCTATGTTCTCATAATTATCCTTGTTTTTCTTCTCATGCTGGCCATGGAGCTCTTTAAATATATCCACCGCCATCTTATCCTTAATAGCCTTCACGTTGGTGTTGGCCTTAGCAAAGTCTTTTTGAATAAATGACATCCCAAGAGCATGGCATCAATGTATTTTAGAGCGTAGACACCACAATCACCAGCTCGGGCCTGAGGTATGTTGGGTTCACGTTTAAATGTGGATGGATCCAGGGAGTATTTGGCACACAGTTCATCAGAGGTAGCACACTTAACAAGGAGAGAAAGGATCGTGTAGAGAAAAGGATCCATTACCACAATGAGTTCTTCGTCGGAGATAGTGGAATAGATGCTATCATAGATGACTATGTGTCTCTCAGGGATCGATATCCACACAGCAATCCAATGACAGACGTTGTAGTTCACTGGTGCATAGATATCATCAATATCCACCCCCACATCGTGTTCGACTGGCAAAATGATAGTATAGCGCATCATCAATATCCACCCCCCACATCTTGTTCGACTGGAAAAATGATGGTATAACGCCTGAATAATAATTAAACTCTCCACCATGGAGTCTTCTTCCTAAACCGTTGTGATCACACTCCGATTCCTTAAAATCGGAGTAGTTGAATCTCCATTGCTGAGAAAAGAGATGATCAAGGAAGCACATCCTCTTGCTCCTGAGATCTTGTGGCTTAGCAACGTACCTCTTCCTCAGCACATTAATCCAAGCATCAATATGCTGCATTTAAAATAATACAAGTCAAAAGATATTAGACGACTTACCATTAAGTCGTCTACAAAGAAGACTTAACAGACGACTTAATGGTAAGTTAGCTGATAATTCGTCTATGTAGAATACTTTCCAGACGACTTAATTGTAGAAGATATAAGTCATAGCAGAAGACTTACACAATCTTCCAGCCAAGATAAGGAGTTCCGAGGGTGTGATACCACGTAGTTGGTGCTGTACGTGATTTTTTGTCGAGAGGTTTGTTATACTCACTGCAAACACAAAATGTTGAAAAGCAATCAGTTTTGTAGACTAAAGCAACCTATAATGTTGAAAAGCAATCACTTACGGTTCAGTTTTCAACCACTCAAAGAGCTCCTTCAACTTGTTCTTGTTAAGTGGTCCAAAAGGATTATAGCTTGGAGCTCGCTTTTTGTTTGGAATGATCACTTTGGCCGTGCTGTTTTCCATATAAGGACATTACTATGAGGCAGCAAGTTTCCTTGTTCGATAACTCTTTGCACGTTTAGTTTATGCCAAAGTGTTCCCCTCTTTTCATGATCTAGCATCCTCCTACGCTAAATCTGAAACAGTGGGTATTTGTTTCTCCAGTAGAACAAGGCTCGATTCTGGAGGAATGCTCGATTTTGGAAGTTTATCCCCGGCCTGGCTCGGAACTATACTCATCTCTTTTGAGGAAGCAGCATCTGCGGACAAATCTTTTGCTTTACCCCCCAGCAAGCTCTTCCTTCCCGCGTTCGCCCCATTAACACTTTCACTCTGCAATATTAACCAAAGATCCATTTCAAACAATAATAACCACATATCCATTTCAACCATGAAAGAAAATCCATATACAAAATCCATAAATAGAACCAAAACAAGCACACTATAAACAAATCACACATGTTCTTTCATACAAAGCACACATGTTCTTTCAGTTCTTATTCTTAAGACTTTGTCTAGTCAATTTCTTGTTGCGAGAGGATGCTTTACTAACCTCGAGTTCGTGCGTTTTAGATTGAGAGCTTGGTTGAGAGCTAGTGTTTTCGGTGATACCAACGATCTTCTCCACAACTTCCACCCTTTCAGACATATACTTGATCTCCTTAAGGCACGTCCCAAACCTTTGACTCAAGGCATCGAGTACGTCCTTCAAAGAATCCTTCACGGTTCTTTCAATATTCTCTTTGGTCAGCCCACCAACAGTGGTAGTCACCTCTGGATGAGCCTCTGTAAGAACCTCCTCAGGTGCCTCTTCACTAGGCTACTTACGAGTTTTTATAAGAGGTCTTGGATTGTCTTCCTTAACCAGAACTATCGTTTTCTTCTTCGGACTCAAAACTGCCGGCTTTGTATTGACCCAAGTACCGGTGACTTCCCAGCAATCCATGGTCCACTTCCACGGTCTCTGATTGTACATGAGTTTATTTATGTGCTCTGCGGCCGGGTCTTTAACATCAGAGTCCCATTTTGGAAACATTTCACCAGTGTCCTTCTCAACAAAGTTCACCACCTTAGTCTACAGTAAATAGAAGATATAAACTTATATATTTGACGAATTAAGAAAGATGAAAAGAAAAGACTTCCCAAACGACTTATTATTAAGTAGTCTGGAAAGTCTTCCAGCTGGACGACTTAATTATAAACCGTCTGGGAAGTCTTCCAGCTGGACGACTTAGCAGACTACTTATTATTAAGTCGTATGGATAGTCTTCCCAGTGACTTAATTATAACTCTTCTACTAAGTCATCCAGCTGGAAGACTTTCCAGACGACTTAATTATAAGTCTTCTACTAAGTCGTCCTGTTGGAAGACTTTCCAGACCACTTAATCATAAGTTTTCAAAAAGTCTTTTGACATGAAGTAAATACATGTTTTTTAATAGCTTCTTTAAAGCATACTCTTCCTTTGACACCCTTATAAGCCAGTAGTGTGGAGACGGTCTGTTTGGTATGGGATTACCATAAGTAGCACCCAATTCTGGCAGAGCTGTGTACACTTAGACCTGGAGAGCTTGTATAAACTCATCAATGGTGTAACAACCCGAAATATCTTTGCCCTTCACAGAGTCCATCAGCACCTTAAACGCGACTCTCCCCCATGGATAATTCTCAAACCGTTCTAACTCCATCACTAGCCTTGCCAGACTAGCCATGTAGGGATTAAAAACTTTCTCCTTTCAATGTATCCAGTGAAGATGGCAAGGTACCCGAGCCGCTTGCGATCATCCGGAGACCACCCTTCGCATCTCTTAAATGATGCTAGTATCTGTTGAGTAGGTTGCCCAGCTTTGACATGAACTCCCAACAACTCCCAGAAAGAAACCAACTCCTTTGTAACAGAACAGTTTGGTCTCTCTAGGTCCTCGATGTACTCGCAGTTTAGACCAGTGAGGTATTCAAACTCTAAAAGTGAAAAACTCAAAGGTTATGGACCAATGAGACTCCACAGCTCATACTTCTTCTTTATTCGAGCTGGAAACCTGTAGTGAACCAGCCTTGAAGCCCAATCAAATTCCAGCTCTTGGAACTTGATGAAAACCCCCAACTTAGACTCTTTCATCTCTTAAACTTAAACTTAATTATAAGTCTTCCAAGACTTCTAGTAGAACATTGTAAAGCCGACCTGAAAATTCGGAGAAGATATAGTCGCCTTCGACACATCGGTTATAGATCTGCAAAAGTAGACGTGAAGAAAAAATGAGAACGACGGTGAGAAGGTGATAAGGGTTTTTAGGCCTTAGAGCAAATCAATGTAGTAAGGTAAGTAGAGTGTCAATCCAATCCTGAGAGCTATTGAACAAAGAGAATGCAAGACATTGCTAAATCTAAATGCAATCATTGAGAGTTTGTTTTATAATTAACTAGTAACAAGCAATATGTAAACAAGAATAACTAAGCTTTGGTTTCAATGAGATAAAAGAGCATATCGATAAGGGTATTGACTTTGGGTGATCAAGTTACTATCTAGGGTGATGTTTCAAGCAATCATTCATATCCTATAGGTCTAGACACAATTCTAAGCTAGTCCTTGGTCAAGGTAAAAGCTCATTTGCTATCAATCTTTAAACACAAATGGTCATTGGTCTAAATCAATCAAGCAATCATTGAGAACAAGTTTACTAACCATCTAAGCCTTCCTAACATGAAGTATCCTTGGTTAAGTAAGCAAAAAGC